CCTCGCCCCAGGAGGCCCTCGCCAGCCTGGGGCAGACCCCAGCTGGCGCCCAGGGAGCGAGGACAAGGCTCAGGTGGCCCCTTGCCTTCTGATGGTGGCAAAACAGCTGCAGCCCATAGGGAGGCAGGAGGGTCCCTGGGCTGCTAGGCGGGGTGCCAGAACCATCCCCGCCCCCCGACACCCAGCCACCAGCAGGCATGGTGGAGCCTGGACCAGGGACCGCTGCCAGTCAGTGGAGGCAGGGAGATTGCTTAGGGAGCAGGAGAGGTGAGCGCAGTGGCCCCGCCCCGCAGCCTCACCGTCTATGAAAGCTTGCGTCTGCTCGTCATAGGGCGGCAGCTTGTCCTCCTCTGGGGGGCTGGCTGCCTGGGGGGGCACCTGAGGGGGCAGGGCTTCCTGGGGACAGGGAGTGGGATGAATCAGCAAGTAACCCACCCCCCAGGCCCCCAGGCCCCCTGTGCCCTCCACACACCTTGGGCTGCCCTCCCTGCACCTCGAGCTCCTCCTCCTCCTCTTCTTCCTCCTCCTCAGCAGCCTCTTCCTCCTCCTCCTCCTCTTCCGTGGGTGAAGGCACTGGGGGCAGCTGCCCTTCTGTGGGCTCCGCAGGGTCAGTGGTAGGTGCTGGCAAGTCAGTGGGCAGCACCTGTGGACAAGCAGGGATTGGGGTTAGATGCCCTGGACTTGGGGGGAATTCCACCCTCACCCGACCCCCTCTCCCTGGGTCTGGAGTCCCATGAGGGCCTTGAAGAGGGGGGTGTGGGTAGCTGGGGGTGGAGGGTGCATTGGGAGTCCCGTTGGCCAAGGGTGGCCTTGGGCATGGGCAGGGCTGCAGCTGCCCTTCCCTCACTGACCTCAGACTGGTACTTGTCCCTGATGGCGGACCAGATGCGGTCATAAAAGGTGCTGGCGTCTGTCTGTGAGTCCCCTCCAAGGAGGGCCTGTGTGGTTGGGGTGGCGTGAGCACCTGGGTCTCCCACCCACCCCCTCCCACCCCAGGTGCCCGGTGGGCAGGGGAGGGTCTTAGCCTGCGGTGCCCGGCATGAGGGTGCACAAGGGGGCAGGCCGGGCCAGCTCACAGCCCCAAGACATCCAGAGGGGGCACCTAGAGACCTGGGGAGGGGCAACTGCCAGAGAAAGAGAGAGACTGGTGGGTAGACACTTCCAGAGAGAAGCCTTGAAGGGAGAGGCTGCAAGGGGCCAGCCTGGGCCACACGGGGCTGACTGTGCTGCAGGGAGGTGGATGGGAGCTGCAGGGCCCTTGGTGAAGAAGGGACACATGGTCTGGGAACTACGCGGGTCAGGTGTGGGCAGCCTGGCTCTGCCCCCGAGGCAAGTTCCATAGGCCCAGGAGAACCCAGGCATGGCCAGGCAGGGGCAGCCAGTCGGGTTCCCCCATAGCTCCTGGACTGAGGCCTGCAGGGAGCTCCCAGCCAGCCTGCACCATCCTACTGCTCTGAGACCACCCTAGAGGGAATCCTCTCTACAGATCCAGGGCAAGGGTACCTGGGCTTCCCCTTCGGAGAGCACCCCGTCCCCATCCGTGTCCAGCTCCGGGTGGGTCTGCAGTTCGGCCACTGTGACCCTGAAGGGTGAGGACACAGCCAGGGGGAGAAGGTGTGTGAAGCTTCCAAGCCACATACCCAGCAGACCACAGGCACCATGTGGTCTGCCTCCCCACTGCCTGTTTCAGGACCTTGTGGTGGTATTAAGAAATGGGCCCAGAAGTGGGGAGAGGAGGGTTGGGGGACCCACTCGGGTCCCTGGTCACCTGCCTCTTATCCCTTACTTTACAGCTTTAGGGGCTCAAAGACACAGAGGGGGATTAGACACCAGCACCCCTACCTCCCTAGACCCCTCTCAGACACCTCCTTCTACCCTCAGAAGCCCACACATGAAAGCTATCCTTCTGCCCTGGCCCCCCTAGGTGGTCAGTGACCTGTTCACCAGCCTGGACCCAAAACCAAGGGCCAGCTTCTGCCAGTCTTCAGGCTGCCGAGCAGGCTGGGAGATGTGAGAGGACCCCACCACTATATCCTGCGCCTAAGGTTTCCTGGCTGGCTCAGCCAGCACCCAGGGGTGGGGGTGGGGTGTCAGTGGCTCCCTGGCCTTTTCAGCCTGGACCCATTTCACAGGTGGGTCTACAGAGGCCTGGAGACCAGTGAGGCGGGCACACTCACATCCCATCTGCGTCGTCATCTAGCTCCTGGAAGGCGCCCGCTGCCAGCTCCTGCTCCTGCTGGGCCTTGGAGGCGGCCTGCTGCTCTGTGGGGGGCCGGCCATCAGCCCCGCCTCTGCCCCTGCCCCCCCTGCCCCCCAGTTCCAAGGACCACTGCACCCCAGCGAGCACCCATCGGCTGCCAGGGCCTGTGCAGCACGGGACCACTGGAGGGGCAGAGCTCTCTGCCCTCCTGAGGG